TATGTATGTATGTATGTATGTATGTTTGTATGCATGTACTGTATATAGTGAGTTAAAAACAGTTAACAGGTTTAAAACTATAAGTGTACATCAACTGTCTTTGTTTCATGAGTTAACAAGAGCTAACTCACCACAGCTAGCTCATGAGATCATTTTGAAACTAAGAAATAATACAATGTTAATTTGAATTTGATGGCAGCAGCATGTCTCAGGTCCATGTTTCTCCTCTCTTCTTTGAACCACAATCTGAAAACTAGAACTGAAGAGAGCAGCTGCTGGAGGCTTTGACAGAAATGTTTCACTCTTATCTGATGAAGGAGTCTAGCTTATTAGCAGTCCTGTTTTCTTTGCTGGATCTCACTGTATGCACAAAATGTTCTTTTAGACAGGACTGCAGCCTGGTCAGTTCAGCACCTGGACCTTTCTACTATAAACCATGCTGCTGTAAAGGATGCAGCATGTGCTTCAGCATTGTTTTGTTGAAAAATGCAAGGCCTTATCTGCAAAAGACATTGTCTGGGATGGATCATGTGTTGTTCTTAATCCTGTGTACACTTTCCTACTTTGATGGTGTCTTTCTGATGTATAAACAGTCCATGCCAGAGACATTAATGCACCCCAATACTATCAGAGAGGCCAGTCCTAATAGTCCCTCTTCTCTTTAGTACAGATGACTTGCTGTCAATTGTTTCCTAAAAGAACTTAAAATGATGACTCATCTCATCACAGAACAGTTCTCCACTTCACCTCAGYTCAAGAGGACATGTCCATTTCTCAGCTGTTAAATGCATTTTACTGTATTTGGAGTGTGTGCAGCATTTTGACAGGGGTCACGTGTTGATTTCTGTCTTCCTGTTGTTGCAATAAACATCTCAGAAGCCCAATCTATGTAGCAACTTTAATCTTTAAATCACATTTTTCTGTTTCATGTTGAATAAATATTTCCACAAATGTAATTACAATCAAAATATGGGTTAAGATTTGCGAGTATTTTTTTTTTTTCACATTTAGGGTTATATTTGTTTTGGTTTTAGTATTGTTTAGTCCTACAAACTAAAGCATACTTATAAGTGGACGTGGTTATATCTACTATATATTTCAGACAGTCTGTGGGAGCCTTTGAGAACTGTGCCGTTTGCATTTTAAATCATTACGGGGGAAAAAAATCAAAATTTTCTTACATCTTGTGTCAGATTTAGGGTATGTTCCCTGAGCTGTTTGTCACATYATGCAGTTTGTTGAACCACTGTGAGGTTAGGAATGAAAACAACTGAAAGTGAACAGAGGAGATGCTGCGGGTGGACGAGGCTAAGCTAGCAGCAGCTAGCGGCTCCTCCTACCTGGTCAGCCAGCTTCAGAACAGCCATCTCCGGGTCAGCTCCGGGACCAGCACATTCATGCACCGTGCGACCCTGCGCCCCGTCTCGTCTACACTTCCTCCCAGATCAAGAACCGTGTGGGTCGTTAAGATGCACAGATACCGCTGCTGCTGCTGCTGATGAAGGCCGGGCCGAGGACCGCGGCCATCAGCCCCGCTCCACTGGCGCTATCTGCGGCGACGCTGCGAGGCGGACGCGCGGAGCCGCTGGGAGGCGGGGGAACGAGGAAGGCTTGATCCACTAATGTAAACAATCGACATTTATGGCCGCTTCTTGCTCGGGGGACCCTGGTAGCTACGACCCCTCCGGCACCATCAGAATCCTCTGTTCTTCTCGGTGAAGAGTCAGAWACCACGCTGAAGTCAGCTGAACCAGATCACACAGGAAGTCGCGGCTTTTCTCCTCCTTTCAGATGCAGAAGTGGAGACGAAGCTTGCAGAGCATCATTCCAGCAGCTGTGCAGCGCGCAATGCTGCCGCCTAGCGGTCACATCCACAACTACACTCTGAACAGCGAGCGATTGCGCATGCGCAGAAAAAGACGCGACGCCACACAGCGTCCAGTGTTTAGAGAACTATGGATGCTGTTCAAACAAATGTGTCAATTCACAATAGTCAAAGCTATAGTCAAACACTTTAGACTGTGGTCGTATTGGTCATTTATGTCATTTTATCTTCCATAAGATCAAATGTATGTTTTAGCTGTTTTAAGCATTTCACAGCCACTGTAAAAATGCAAAAATCCTTGTTACAGATAACTTTTCATGGCTAAACCATTTGTATTTTTATCCCAAAGACAAACTAAGGTTTTGGCCAAAACC